TCACTCACTCACTCCTCACTCACTCACTCCTCACTCACCACTCACTCCTCACTCACTCTCTCACTCACTCCTCACTCACTCACTCCTCACTCACTCACTCTCTCACTCAATCACTCACTCACTCCTCACTCACTCACCACTCACTCACTCAGTGAGTCTGTCTGTGTGAGAGTCTGAGTCTGTGTATTTGTCTCTGTGAGTCTCTGTGTGTGTTTGTCTGTGTGTTTGTGTGTGTTTCTGTGTGTCTTTGTGTGTGTCTGTGTGTCTTTGTGTGTGTGTCTTTGTGTCTGTGTATCGTGTGGGGGGTGGTGGGTGTAGTGGTTAGCGCTACGCTGCGCTATGAACCCGGCGACCCGAGTTTGATTCCCGCTCACGGCCAACACCAGTGATGATTATCTGAACCGGTCCTGGGCCTCCCCTAGGTCGACTCAGCCTCAACTGAGTAGCTGGTGTAGCGGTGTGCAGTGAACATCGCCACTGGGGAGACAAAGGCGGCCGGGCGTGGTGCTGGTCACCCACACCCTCTGTGTGTGCCACAGTGCCGGTAGCCTTCATAGGTTGCTGCTGGTACTCGCTACTAACAGCACTTGCCCCTGCAGTCTGTTAGAGGCTACACGGGGGATCTTTGTCTGTGTCTGTGTGTGAGGTGCTAGCTGACAGCACTTGCCCCTTTAGTCTGTTAGAGGCTACACGGGGGACCTTTGTCTGTGTCTGTGTGTGAGGTGCTAGCTAACAGCACTTGCCCCTGCAGTCTGTTAGAGGCTACACGGGGGATCTTTGTCTGTGTGTGAGGTGCTAGCTGACAGAACTTGCCCCTTTAGTCTGTTAGAGGCTACACGGGGGACCTTTGTCTTTGCCATAGGGTGCTGATGATGGTGGTGGTGGTGTGTGTGTGTTACACGCGCTCACCCACGTGTGTGTGTGCGTGTATGTGTGTGTGTGTGTCTTGTTGTGTGTCTGTGTGTGTGTGTCTGTGTGTGTGTGTCTGTGTGTGTGTCTGTGTGTGTCTGTGTGTCTCTGTGTGTGTCTCTGTGTGTGTGTATGTGTGTGTGTCTGTGTGTGTCTGTGTGTGTATCTGTGTGTGTATGTGTGTGTGTGTCTGTGTGTCTGTGTGTGTGTCTGTGTGCATGTGTACACGCTTGTGTGCCACCCTCGCTTCGCTGAAAAACCCGCATGTGTGTGTTCACGCGTGTGTGTGTACACGCGCGTGTGTGTCTGTGTGTACACGCGTGTGTGTGTGTACACGCGCGTGTGTCTGTGTGTCTGTGTGTACACGCGTGTGTGTCTGTGTCTGTGTGTACACGCGCGTGTGTGTTCTTACGTGTGTACGTGTGCGTGCATGTTTGTCTGCACCTACGTGTGTACGTGTGTGTGTACACGTGTGTGTATGTGTGTACGTGTGTACATGTGTGTGTGTGTACGTGCCTACACTTGTGTGTGCGTGTACGTGTGTGTGTGTACATGTGTACATGTTTGTGTGTGTACGTGTGTATATACGTGTGTGTACGTGTGTATATACGTGTGTGTACGTGTGTGTGTGTACGTGTGTGTGTACGTGTGTGTGTACGTGTGTGTACGTGTATATACGTGTGTGTACGTGTGTGTGTACGTGTGTGTACGTGTGTGTATATATACGTGTGTGTGTACGTGTGTGTGTGTACATGTGTGTGTGTGTACGTGTGTGTGTGTGTACATGTGTGTGTGTGTGTGTACGTGTGTGTGTGTGTACGTGTGTGTGTGTGTGTACGTGTGTGTGTGTGTACGTGTGTGTGTGTACATGTGTGTGTGTGAACGTGTGTGTGTGTGTACGTGTGTGTGTGTACTCCTAACCCATTCTCCACCTTTCTCACCTCCACTAATAATTCGCTTTCCCCGCCGCGCTCGCCACTAAACACAACAACAACAACAATTCACAACAACAACAACAATTCACAACAACAACAACAATTCACAACAACAACAACCACAACCACCGTCCACCACCACTGTAACACAACCAATGTCTACATTAAAATAAAATAACAACAACGCTACACAACAAAATACATAAATACACACACACACACGCACAATCACCGATTAATAATAATGATAATTAATAATTAATATTTTTATTATAAAAAAATATTTTAATATTTTCAACATTATTCCTAATAATTATTATTAATAATTCATTTTTATTAATTTCATTAATAATAATGTTTTAACAATAATAACAAATTCTTAATAATATTATCAATATTATTACTACTACTAATTATTACAATTTATTATTATTATTTATCGCGTTTGTATGAATATTATTATAATTATTATTATTAACGATAATTTCTAATGATGACGAAACATTAATTTGCTTTATCACGTTAACAACGTAACTAAATAATTATCACAATCCTCCACCCACCTACCCACCCTCCACCCTCCACGCATTCTCAATCCCGCTCTTGACACCGCCGCAGCCGGCCCCGGCGCCCCCTCGGGCACGGCTCCGGACGCCCCCGGCCGCCCTGCTCGGGGTCCTCGCGTTGCTCCTCCCCTTCCTGCTGCTGCGAGGGGGCGTGGCCTGCGGGCTAATCCTGCTCCACTGCCTGACGATGTTTGCCCTTCCGCTTGTTAACCGTCTCCCGTGCGCGCTGTGCTCGCTCCGCTGGTGCGCTTGCTTCCTCCTCCTCCTCCTCCTCTTCCTCCTCCTCCTCCTCCTCCTCGTCGTCCTCCTCCTCGTCGTCCGCCGCTGTCACCGTCACCGTCACGGTCGTGGTCCCTGGGATCTCCCGGCGACGCAGGGAGTGACGCTCACGGAGCTCCACGAGGCCGAGCGGGCGCTGGACGGCAGGGATGGGAGGAGGTCGCGGGACGACGTGGATGAAGCGGTGAGGGGGGTGGGGGGGGTGGGAGGGAGGGGGTGGAGGGGGTGGGGGGGGGAGTGGGGGTGGAGTGGGGGGGGGGGAGGGGGGGGTGGAAGGGTGGAGGGGGGAGGAGTGGGGGGTGGTGGGTGGTAGGTGGGTGGGGGGGGGTGGAGGAGGTGGTGAGTAGGTGGGGGGGGGAGGGGGGGGGGGAGGAGGGGAAGGTGGTGGGTGGGGGGGGAGGGCGTGGGGGGTGGTAGGTGGGTGGATGGGTGGGGGCGGTGGTAGGTGGGTGGGGGAGGTGGAGGAGGTGGTGGTAGGTGGGGGGGGGGTAGAGGGGGAGGAGGGGAAGGTGGTGGGTGGGGGGGAGGGCGTGGGGGGTGGTGGGTGGGTGGAGGGGGTGGAGGGGGTGGAGTGGGGGGGGGAGGGGGGGGAGGAGGGGAAGGTGGTGGGGGGGGGGGGAGGGCGGGGGGGTTGGTGGGTGGGTGGATGGATGCGTGGGTGGTGGGTGGTAGGTGGGTGGGGGGGGGTGGAGGAGGTGGTGGGTAGGTGGGGGGGGGGTAGAGGGGGAGGAGGGGAAGGTGGTGGGTGGGGGGGGAGGGCGTGGGGGGTGGTGGGTGGATGGATGGATGGATGGGTGGTGGTGGGTGGTAGGTGGGTGGGGGAGGTGGAGGAGGTGGTGGGTAGGTGGGGGGGGGGTAGAGGGGGAGGAGGGGAAGGTGGTGGGTGGGGATGAGGGCGTGGGGGGTGGTGGGTGGGTGGATGGATGGGTGGTGGTGGGTGGTAGGTGGGTGGAGGAGGTGGTGGGTAGGTGGGTGGGGGGATAGAGGGGGAGGAGTGGGAGGGTGGGTTGGTGGTGGATGAGTGTCTGTCAGCGTCTGTGTGTGTGTTTGTCCGCAAGCTTATTAATTACATTCAGTCGACGTGGTTTAGTGGTAGTTAATTGAAGTTGGAGGGGTCACCAGCCCCTCGTACCCGTCCAGAGCCCCCGTTTAGCCCCTGTGGTGGTCACAGACGCCATGAGGGGAGGAGCCAATCAAAATTGGATCTCCCCCCACGGCACTGTCCACGACAGCGTTGCCCGTCCGGCACCACGAGGTGGTAGGGGGTTGTTTTGCCGCCTATGACGTCTCCCGGCCAATCCCCATTCGGCAGAGCCAGGAGACTGCATCTTTGCCACTGCGTGTGGCCACGTGGAATGTTCGAACGCTCACTGCGGGGGAGAGGCTGCCACTCCTCTGTCGGGAGCTGGACTGGTACCGCCTGGATCTCTGCGGCATTCAGGAGGTCCGTTGGACCGGCTCTGGCTCCTGCCACCATGAGGGGTGGACAGTCCTCTACTCGGGGCAGGAGACTGCCAAACGACAGGGTGTGGCTCTTCTTCTGAACAAAAGAATGAAGGGGGCGTGGGAGCTTGGCGGTGAGGTGTGGGAAGCTGTAAGCTCCAGGCTACTTTGGGCTCGCCTTCCCATCAACCGGAGGCGAGGAGTGGTGGTCGTGGTTACTTATGCCCCCACCGAAGACAAACATCCGTGGAGGGATGCAGGCAAAGCCGATGAGTCAGATGCCTTCTATGACCTGTCACGGGTGCTGGCTAAAGTGGCCCCTCGGGATAGAGTCATCTTGTTGGGTGACTTCAATGCCCGAGTTGGTCATGATGCTGGCACCTGGACTGGAGTGATTAGAAGGCATGGGCCAGATCAGCTCAATAACAACGGTAGGAGGCTGCTAGATTTTTGTGCAGCCCATGGGATTGTAATTACCAACACGCTGTTCCGGCATCGGCGCATCCACACAACATCATGGATGCATGCCGGGTCCAAGCAAGAACATTTGCTGGACTACATAGTGACGGAACAGTGGATGCGGGCCCATGTCCTTGACACCAGGACCTACCGTGGAGCTGATCTGCCCACTGTAAGATGCGCCTGCCATTCTTCCACTCCCGTGGTGGGTGTACACCCAGGACCCCATTCCAACCTAAAGTGGCCTGGTCCCAGTTAGCTGATGAAAGTTGCAAGCGAGAATTTCATCATCGCTTGCGGCTGGGGTTGGCATCGTCCCCCACTCCTCCTGATGTCGAGGGGAAATGGGCGAGGTTTAGGACTGTGACTCATGCAGCTGCAATGACTGCTTTGGGTACACGGTCAGGACCTCCCCAGAGACCCTGACTGACAGAGGAGGTGTTCAAGCTGGCTGAGAAAAAGCGACAGGCCCACTGTCATCGGCTACAGATTCCCGCGTCGGAGAATGAGGAGGCTTACCGCAGCCTTCGCTCGGAGGTTCGGAGAGCCGTGAGGCGCTGCAAGGATGGGTGGTGGTCGCGGGTTGCTGAGGAGATGGAATCTGCATCAGTGGCCCGCAATCACAAATTTCTCTTTAATTCCATAAAAAAAGTAACCTGCAGCGCCACACCTATTACCATCGTTAGGGGAAGCAATGGTGATCCAATCTCCGACCCCCAGGAACAGATTTGCTGATTTGCTGAGCATTTCTGTGAGGTCCTGGGGGAGGGGACATCCCTCAGCATGGATAACAAGATATAGTAATAGGTTTTACCCTTTTAACTGGATAACAACTTGGGACAAAGTGAGGATGACCCTGCCGAGGCTGCGGTGCCTCAAAGATTGGAGGAGGAATTCACCCCCTGTGAGTGGCTGGCTGAGGTACCATCTGTTGAGGAAGTACTGAAGGTGATACAGAGTCTGAGACCAGGAAAGGCAGCGGGCAGAGATGATCTCCCAAGCGAAATGCTGAGGGAGGGTGGTGTTTGTGCATAGACTGCCCTATATGACATCATAACAACAGTCTGGACCACTGGATGGGTTCCGCAGGATTGGAAGGATGCCCTGGTGGTCCCCCTCTTTAAGAAGTGGGACCGCACAGACTGTAACAACTACAGGGGCATCTCACTCCTCAGTGTGCCGGGAAAGGTCCTGGCAAGGATTATTCAACATCACCTTGCCAGGCACGCTGAGGAGAGGCTTGCGGTGCCCCAATGCGGTTTCAGGAAAGGGCGGTCCTGCACAGATGCCATATTTTCTGTCCGTCTGCTACAGCATAGGTGTAGGGAATTCCAACAAGACCTAAATCTCTGCTTTATTGACCTGGTCAAGGCCTATGATACCATCAGTAGGCCTGGGCTCTGGGTTGTTCTTCGTGCTTTCGGAGTCCCTGACCCTCTGCTCAGGATCATTTTGGACCTTCATGATGGTAAGCGGGCCCGGGTAAAACTACGTGGCCGGAAGTCGGAGCCATTCGCTTGTACACCTTGGGGTGTGACAGGGATGTCCTCTGGCTCCCACATTATTTAACATCTATTTTGAACACGTAGTTTGTGAAGCCTTCAATAGCTGTACCGGGGGAATTTCCATATGGTACAGATATAATGGGAGGCTGATCGATGCCCGGGTGCGGTCAAGGGATGGCTCCCTATTGGTCAACCGCGTTATGTATACTGATGATTTGGTAATAGCTGCTCATTCAGAGGAGGAGTTGGAGACCCTGCTGCTGAGACTGGAGCATGCCACTAAGAGGTGGGGCCTTACCATCAGCCCCACCAACACTAAGCACCTGCCTGGGTATTTTGTACCATCGGACACTCCACCCCCACAACTCCCAATCAGTGATGGGGCAGTTGTGGAGAGAGTGGAGAGTTTCCCATACCTAGGCAGTGTGCTTATGACCGGCTCCAGTTTAACATCAGAGGTCTCACTCCGAATCAGTCGAGCGGCAATATATTTTCATCGGTTGCGTAACACTGTGTGGAAGTCACCTGTACTGTCGCTCCGCACTAAGCTTCAGGTCTTCTTGGCCACGGTCATTCCCTCCCTTCTCTACGCTTGCGAAATGTGGACCCCCCTAATGGAGCATCTTCGCCGATTACAAAACATTTAGGCTGGTCTGCCTACGATCTATCCTGGGTTTAACCAGACTGGATTGTGTGAGGTACTCACAAATCCTTGAAAGATCTGGGCAAGGTCCCATCGGTGAGCTCCTCCGGCAGGCAAGGCTGCGATGGCTGGGTCATGTAGCCCGCATGCCCAGCCACCGCATGCCGAAACAGCTTTTGTTCGGCCGGATCGAGGGGGCTAAACGGGCGCGGCACGGGCTAGAGAAGAGATGGAGTGACGTGGTACAGGAGGACGTGGAGCTGAGTGGACTTGCCGATGACTGGTACCAGCGGTGTCAAGATCGGCCTCTGTGGAGGAGGCTCGTGAAGGACGCTACTGGGCAGTTGGAGGTAGTCGCCCTCCAACAACAACGGAGGACGGAGGAGCGACGCTCACAACAACGAGCGTAGCGCCGGGTGGCTAAAGCACAGCAGGTTGGCACAGTAGGGGACACAGGTGGTGCATCAGCCAGTCGTCTCAGTCATCTCAGTCAGTCGACCCGTGGCACCTGCTGGGTCTGCCCCGTGACCTCCTGCCCGCGGGCGTTCGACACTTCACGTGGCCTCAGGGTGCACATAGCCTGGCACAAGCGTCGTGGTGACGTCACCGCCACTTAGTGGCGAATGGCGGATGTTGTTGTTGTTGTGTATTTATGTATCTTGTTGTGTACCCCACCCCCGTCCCGTGTGGCACCATCAGCACCATCAGCACCATCAGCAGCATCATCAGCATCATCATCAGCAGGAGAGGGACAGTGCAGAGGCGTTCACGGGGGTCGTGTCGGCCACGCTGCTCCCGCAGACGGGGAGACAGCAGCACGGTGAGACAACACACACAGACAGACACACAGACACACACACAGACACACACACACACACACAGACACACACACACAGACACACACACTGACACACACACACACAGACACAGATACACACAGACCCACACACACACAGACACAGACACACACGCACACACACAGATACACACACTGACACACACTGACACACACACAGACACACAGACACACACACACACAGATACACACACAAAGACACAGACATACAGATGCACACACTGACACACACACAGACACACAGACACACACACACACAGATACACACACACAGAGACACAGACATACAGACACACACACACACAGATACACAGACACACACAGATAGACACGCACACAAACACACACACAGACACACACAGACACACACAGACACACGCAGTAAGACACGCGCATACACACACGCAGATGGACACACGCACACAGACACACAGGCACAGATAGACACGCACAGACAGACACACATACAGACACACACAGACACACATACAGACACACACACAGACACACACAGAAACACACAGACAGACACACACAGACAGACACACACACACACAGACACACACACACACGCACATTCACACACGCAGATGGACACACGCACACAGACACACAGACACAGATAAACACGCACAGACAGACACACATACAGACACATATACAGACACACACAGATAGACACACGCACACACAGAGACACAGACACATCTTGCGTGTATGAATGTGATGATGATGATAATGGTGCGTGTGTGATGGTGATGATGATGGTGATGATGGTGATGATGATGGTGATGATGATGGTGATGATGATGGTGATGATGATGGTGATGATGATGGTGATAATGGTGTGCGTGTTTGCAGGAGAGGGAGTGAATCAAGTTCCTGGCAACTCCAATGATACTCAGATTCCTCACGTGAGTACATCGCACACAAAGACAAAGATCCCCCGTGTAGCCTCTAACAGACTGCAGGGGCAAGTGCTGTTAGCTAGCACCTCACACACAGACACAGACAAAGATCCCCCGTGTAGCCTCTAACACACTGCAGGGGCAAGTGCTGTTAGCGAGCACCTCACACACAGACACAGACAAAGATCCCCCGTGTAGCCTCTAACACACTGCAGGGGCAAGTGCTGTTAGCTAGCACCTCACACACAGGCACAGACAAAGATCCCCCGTGTAGCCTCTAACAGACTGCAGGGGCAAGTGCTGTTAGCTAGCACCTCACACACAGACACAGACAAAGGTCCCCCGTGTAGCCTCTAACAGGCTGCAGGGGCAAGTGCTGTTAGCTAGCACCTCACACGGTACACGAGGGGGTGGGTGACCAGCACCACGCCCGACCGCCTTTGTCTCCCTATTGGCGATGTTTACTACACACCGCACCAGGTACTCATTTGAGGCTGAGTCGACCTAGGGTTCGTAGCGCTAACCACTGCACGTCCACTGTGGGGAGCGGTAGTGTAGTGGTTAGCGCTACGCTACGCTATGAACCTGGCGACCCGGGTTCGATTCCCGCTCACGGCCAGCACCGGTGACGATTATCTGAACCGATCCTGGGCCTCCCCTAGGTTGACTCAGCCTCAACTGAGTAGCTGGTGTAGCGGTGTGTAGTAAACATCGCCACTGGGGAGACAAAGGCGGTCGGGCGTGGTGCTGGCCACCCACCCCCTCGTGTACAGTTCCGGCCTTCATAGGTGCTCGCTAACAGCACTTGCCCCTACAGTCTGTTAAGGCTATATGGGGGATCTTTATCACTCCCCACACACACACAGACACACAGACATACACACAGACACACAGACACACATACACACACACATACACACACACAGACACACAGACAGACACACAGACACACACACACACAGACACACACACAGACACACACACAGACACACACACAGACACACAAACACACACAGACACACACACAGACACACACACAGACACACACACACTGACACACAAACACACACACAGACACACACACAGACACACATAAACAAACAGACACACACACAGACACACACAGACACACACACACACAGACACACACACAGACACACACACACACACAGACACACACACAGACACACACACACACAGACACACACACAGACACACACACACACACACACAGACACACACAGACACAGACACACACACAGACACACACACACACACACAGACACACACAGACACACACAGACACACACACACAGACACACATACACAGACACACACACAGACACACACACAGACACACACAGACACACACACACAGACACACACACACAGACACACACACAGACACACACACACAGACACACACACAGACACACACACACACTGACACACAGACACACACACACAGACACACACACACAGACACACACACACAGA